ACCTGAATCAATTATGACTGATTTCGAAACTGGCACAATCAAATCAGTGAAAGATATGTTGCCAAATGTGTTACACAAAGGTACTTTCTAATCTATTCATAAAAAAAGTAATTGAAACATTTTTTTTTATAGGTTGTCTCTTTCATTTTTCACAAGCGGTATGGCGACAAGTTCAAAGCAAAGGATTAACAACCAAATATAATGAGGATGAGTATTTTCGCTTAAATGTAAAAAAATTAATTGCTCTTGCTTTTGTTCCACTAGATCAAGTTATCACTGGCTTTGGCTTAATTTGTGATCAATTCGACGATGACGCCGACGATTTACTCGATTATTTTGAAAAAACATGGATTGGTGAAAAAAGAAGAAGAGGTAATTTTTTTCTCAATTCTTGAAAAATTTCTAATATACCGAACTTTTTAAGGAGCTGGTCGAAAGAATCCTCAATTTGATCATAAATTATGGAACGTTTATGATCGTGTCGTCGCTACGATACCTCGATCCAATAATTCTGTAGAAGGCTGGCACAATGCATTTGCTAACCGTGTTGCATTAAATCATCCAAATATTGTGAAATTGGCGGAGAAAATTCGTCGTGAACAATCAAAATTTGAAGTGGACATGGCGAAGATTCTTCAAGGTCACAATATTAAGATGAAAAAGGCATGCTACCGAAAATTGGACGAACGTATTAATCGATTGGTCAACGGATTCGACGCATCCCAACTGGATGAATTCTTAAAAAATATGGCAGCCAATGTTACTCTTTAGGTATTTTTTTTTTCTTTAAATTACTTTCTTTCTTTAGATTGTTTTCTTTAGATTATTTTCTTTTTGATTTTTCTTTCTTTTTTGGTTTTTCTTTTTTTTTTGTTTTTTCTTTTTTTTTGTTTTGAATTTGTTCATCATTATTTTTTGTATTCTATGCAAAATAAATATGAGCGAACTCATCAATTTTACATCTTTCATTAAAAAAAAATAATTAAGAGATATATGCAACGAATGGATAGTGATGAGCATAGGGAAAGAATTTTTTCTGCAACGAACAGAACGAAAGAAATTTATCCGCAACGAACAGAACGAAAGAAATTTATCTGCGACGAACAGAAAGAAAAAAATTCTGCGACGAAGTGTCGTGCGACGAAGTGTCGTGCGACGAAGTGATCGTGCGACGAAGTGAATGCGACGAAGTGAATGCGACGAAGTGTCGTGCGACGAAGTGATCGGTCACCCGGGTGCGGATGGGTGTAGGTGGGTGTGGATGTGGAGTGTGGGTGGGTGTGGGTGTGGAGTGTGGGTGGGTGTGGGTATGGGTGCCCAACCAACCATTCGATAGGCTTTTCGACGCGTCGATTTAGGCTTCCGATGGGCATCGGAATTCCAAATCGACCCCTGGGTTTGCCATTTTCCGATGGGTCGAGGGCTCCGCGATGGGTTGCTTTTCCAAGTATTTTGCAGTTTATATGATCTTCTATCTCGAGGGCTCGAAATATAAATTTCGATTGGTACTTGAAGACCACACTATCGATGATTTTCGACCCCTTTTTTGTCTTTGCTTCGATTGGTTTCGATAAGCTATTCCGATACCCATCGAATGATCTTTCTCGATAGGTTCTAAGTGAAACGAAAGTTGCAAAATATCGAGTGGTCGATGTTTCGCAAGGCTCCGAGCGGTCGAAATTTCGACCACTCGAATTTTCGATAATTTTCAAAAAATTTTCGCCACCACATATTTTCGAGCACTCGACACTAATTGAATAACAGTAAATTCGAACATATATACTTACGAATACCAGAGCTCTCGAGACCTATCGGAAATAAACGCAGAACAGTAGATTCGAACAAATGTACTTACGATTATGAAGCTTGCATTAACCAGATGATCTAAATATGACATTCTCAGCCTGAATAAATCTACGTTTCGTCATGAAATATATAAAACTTTGATGAAATTTTTTTCGTATATGATCTAAAATAATTTTTTTTCGAAAAAACGTGAGAGGAAATTGCTACTATTAATAAAAAAATATTTCGTATATAATCTTGACTATTTTTAAAGAAAAAATTTTTTTTAATACATGATATTGAATAATTTTTTTTTCGAAAAAAAAATAGGAAGAGACTAATACTATTAATGAAAAAAAATTAATATATAATCTTGGCTATTTTTTTCGAAAAAAATTGAGAGAAATTTGTTACTGTTAATGGTTGAAAAAATAATTCCAGTTATTATAAGTTTTCTTGTGTGAACTAGAAGTTTTATGAGCAAATATAAAATACTTTATTATCTATTACAGTTGAAAAAAAAACTCAACTGCTCTCTTTAAGATTTGAATATTCGATTATTTCAATAGTTTCTTCATTATTGAGAAATCTGAAAGAATGTTTCTGCAAAATATGCGATGACGATCTAAGAATAAGACACGAAGAACATTTTCGAATGTAAATATTCGGAATTGTTGAGAATATTGTGTTATTCGTTTTAAATTGTAATAAATGATGTCTTGCAAGTTCATCAATAAGATCTTCCAATAAAATAAATATTTTTCCATTATCGTTTGGATCGCTTACAATCGCTTTAATAAGTCCTAATTTAATTTGTCGTCCAAATACAAATGAAACACAACAATCGGCGAATTTGCGAGATTTTGTGGATGATAAAGTTTTATATTTAACATGTTTGATGGCTAATTCATCATGATACAAGAATTTTCTTTTTGTAATTAAGTTCAAATGCTTCATCTCGTCAACATAATTTGTAAAAGACACTCGTTTTCTCACGTGTATTCCTTGATGTGATACTAATTTGCGACTAAGAATACTTTCATTAAAATAAAATAGTTTTTCTGGATAATCAAGTTTGAATACATCAATTATAGCTTGTCGATAATATTGTAAATTTGAAATTAATTGTGGTCCATAGTGTGTCATACCATGGATCATGCACACCAGGTCATGACCAATGCCTGAGATAGTAATTAAGAATAAATACAACCTGAAAAATTCTTTTTAAACCGATGATAAAACCTATTGAATTGTTAGCAATTTTTGTGTAATGCGTAGAAAATAAAAGAATAGTGAGAAATAAATGATCAGGTAGTTATAGCTCATTTAACTTTGAATTTTGATAACTCATGATATTCTAAAAACATAAGTCTTTTTCAAATCGCTACAAACGAGTTAAAATACCTTAAATGAATATAAAGCGATCAAACTCATTGTATTACTTTTATTACTGATGTCAAAATGTAATTATAATCGCATCAGCTAATAATTGATGATGATTTTTTTCCTTCAACTTAACAAAACACTTATCGTTCAAATAAAAATTGAAATAATCTTTATCAATATTTATCTATATTTTGTTCTCATTATTATGAGATAATATCCATGATAGAGAATTATATGTAATAACGACGTGTAGTCTGCAAACTAATCTTCAAAATTAAAAGCACTATACATATATAAAGGACCTAGAAATTGTATTGATTCATGAATATGTAAAAGTGAACGTATATTGGATGACATATGACGAAGACCAAATATCTTTTGCCAATCTTTTACATATTGATGTAATAATTCTTTGACTAATATTATATCATAATTGTCAATAATATCTTTAGAAGCAATGTTAACAGCAGCTAATAACAATGCAAAATGTCGACGATATTTTGGTAACATTGCTTGTAACAATACTGTTGAACCGTGATGCATTAAGGATCTGAATTCGTTCGCCTTGAAACGTGCAATATGTTTTATTGTTCGAAATCTTCGACTTGTAGTAGTTGGAATTTTAACAGACGATAACCCTTGATCAATACTATTTATTTTATTATAAAGCGACCATTTTTGTTGACGATCAGTTTTGGATTTAGAAAAAATCAACGAACAAAATTTTTTAAATACACCTAAATATAATGTATGCAATGAATCAAAGAGTATTGATCTACATTCTTGAAACAAGCTTGCATTAAATTGACAACAATTTTTTTCCATGGTAATCGTCCATTACCAGTTGCTTCCAATAATTCAAAATTAGTAAGACCTAACTGTTGTCCACACTAAATGGAAAAA